ATTCTGTGGAAAGACTTTTAGGTTATCAATTTCAATTCCATACGTCAGAACTAGATCGAGGGTATGGTTAAAACAGTGAGTGGGTTCATGTACACCCTGACTGAAGCCAATGGAGTCTAATAATGAGATAAACGCGGTAGCCAGGGAGTCATTATCAACGTCGACATGAATGTTAAAATCGCCTACAATAATAACTTTATCTGATTTAAGAACTAAACTGGATAAAAACTCTGAGAATTCAGATACAAATTCAGAATACGGGCCAGGAGCACGGTACACTATACCAAATAAAAGTGGCTGCGAGGTTTTCCAAGTCGGATGTAAAAGACTAAGAACGAGGCTTTCAAATGAATTATAATCTAGTTTAGGTTTAGGGCTGATTAACAGACTAGAGTTAAAAATGGCTGCAACTCCCCCTCCTCGGCCGCTGCCTCGAGGAATGTGGGTATTATTATGACTGGGAGGAGTGGACTCATTTAGACTAACGTATTCATCTTGACACAGCCAGGTTTCAGTGAGACTGAGTAAATCAATATGATTTTCTGATATTAATTCGTTTACTAACACTGCTTTTGATGATAGAGACCTGTCGTTAAAAATTGTGAAAAACGATCATTGTATAGTATGCTGTCAAAAAACATGAAAAAACGTTATAGTTTAGCATGTCGTCTGAAAACATGAAGAAACTTTATAGTATAGCATGCCGTCAAAAAACATGAAAAAACATTATAGTAAAGCATGTCGTTAGAAAACTTGAAAAACATCATAGTATAACATGTCGTCAAAAATTTAAATAAAATACTTTATTATACTTTTAATTAAGTGTTTCCGTCTGGTGATGGGCTCTGTCTTTTAGATAACTATTAGAGGTACCCAAGCTTTTTGGCAGGGAGCACAGCTTGATCTCTTAGCTTGTGTTTGCCAGCTTGGTGTCCTTCATAGTTTCTTGCTCAGTTTTGTGTTGGAGAAGTCTTCTCCTTTGTATTTCAAACCAGGAAGGTAGAACACAGACCACTGAAGATTTAGAATGGGCAGACAGGTGTGAACTGTTGTGCCATAACCCCGTCATAAAGGGAAGGATGTTTGATTTTAGATGGTATTGCTTTTTGAGGGAAGTACTCATGTCTCCAAAATTTTGGACTACTTTTATTATGTGGAATTTCAACAATGTGGTTCATCTGGCTCACCCGGTGTTACTTTGAGTTTGTGAAGACAGTCTTCCCCATATGCCTCCAATGTAGCTTGCCCAGGTACATATTGGACTATTTATGCTTAAATGTTTTAAATAGTAATGTTTAATTGAAAATGCATGTATTTGGGAAATAGTAAACATACAAGCGTATAAATGAGACTTGTATTATACTACAGGAGTTGTGTGAGAGTTTGCAAATCGACGTTTCGAGACAGATACTTCATCATCACCTTCTTAGCACAGATCTAACAGAAAGACCCAAAACACTCGGATTAACAGTGTTAAACAAAAGGAAAAACTGTGTTTGTTCCCATCTGATAGTAATCACTTGCATAATTAGGAATCTCTAATGCACCTGTGTGAAACTACTTTGCACAGCTCTTCGATAAGCAATCAGTCCTTATCCACCTATAAAAGATGCCACCTCTGTGCTGCTATTTGCAAACATGGAACAAAGAGGCCGAAGGCGAAAAGTAGAGGAAGAGGCCATGGCACAGAGGCCTGAGTATTCAGCATTTTGAAAAAAAATTCAAGGATGGAATCAAGACTAGGTTAAAACCTAATGTATGGCTGCTACAGTCCAGCATAAAAGAATGACATGGGAAAATTTTATCCAGTACAATAAAAAAGTATTTGTAGTATTTGTACTATGGTTGCCATTCTGTATTGGTTCTTTAAAATAAGAGGACAGTACAAAAGCTGCACCATGATGAATTGCCAAATTAGTCTAGTCTGGATGCTTACTGTGGGTCAACAACAATTGATGGGCAGGGAAAGACCTGCACACAAGAATAAAATAATGACAGTATTTTACAGGGCATCTCAGAAAGTGTAAAGAGTGCAGATGGAGACTGCAACAGGGTTTGTTTTCTCTAGTAAAATTGTCTATTGTCTACATATAACTACGTATAACTAAGTATCTACAAATGGCAGAGGCATAAAGTATAAGAAAGTCTCTCTCTCTGTCTCATTGTGTCATATGGATTACTGTTAATTTATTATGCTTATCTGTTCTGTACGACATCTATTGCACGTCTGTCCGTCCTGGAAGAGGGATCCCTCCTCAGTTGCTCTTCCTGAGGTTTCTACCGTTTTTTCCCCGTTAAAGGGTTTTTTTTTGGGGAGTTTTTCCTGATCAGCTGTGAGGGTCATAAGGACAGAGGGATGTCGTATGCTGTAAAGCCCTGTGAGGCAAATTGTGATTTGTGATATTGGGCTTTATAAATAAAATTGATT